GCATCCCTGGATCCCACTGATTTATCCCTTCAGCATCCCTGGATCCCGCTGATTTATCTCTTCAGCATCCCAGGATCCCACTGATTTATCCCTCCCTGGCTCCAGCATCCCAGGATCCCGCTGATTTATCCCTCCCCTATGGCTCCAACATCCCTAGATCCCGATGATTTATCCCCCTCTGTGACTCCAGCATCCCTGGATCCCACTGATTTATCCCCCTCCGTGGCTCCAGCATCCCTGGATCTCGCCGATTTATCCCGGTGCCTCCCCCCAGCCCCAAATCCCAGCTCCCGTTATCCCGGTTTTCCCACCCTCCGAGGCGGTTTTTGTGCCGCCTCCCGGCGCCTCCTCCCGCCGGGAAGGGCCGGCCCGGGAAAAGGGGGGGGGGGAATCTCGGGATTGGGGGGTTGGGATCGGGATCGCTCCCGGCTCCAGCCCGGCCATGCTGCGGGTGCTGCTCCAGCGGGCCACGCACCTCCCGAGCCTGGAAAAGCGGGATAAGCAGAGCGATCCCGTGGCCAGCCTGACCTTCCGAGGTGAGGGATTCCCGGGATTTCGGGATGGGAGGCGGGTTGGGAAGAGTTTGGGGCCGGTTTGGAAGCGCCTTCCCGCACAGCCCTGCTCCCAAATCCTTGGGAAATCCCTCCCCATTCCCTCCCTCCGGGGCATCCCCCGCTCCCAACCCTCGGGAGCGGGCTGGGAATTCTCTCCCCGTCCTTCCATGATTTCGGGGCACTTTGCCCTCATTAAGGCATTTTAATTAATTATATTTAATTAATATAAACGATCCCTTTCGGAGGGGTTATCCCATTCCCGGGGGATGGATTTCCCGGGAAGGGAGGGATGGAGGGCTCTGCACCTCCAAAGCTTTCCCTGGAGGATGTTCCTGAGATGTTTTTTTTTTTTGGAAGCCGTTTCCTGTCGGTGGAAAAAAATCTCCGTTTTTAGAAAAAAAAAACACAAGGAAAAGGATGAGCAATTCCTGCCCCGGCTTTTCCTGTGGGGAATGGGATAGGTGCTGGGAATGGGGGTGCTCCTGATCTTTGGGATCGCTCCCATCCATCAGCTCTGCTCGGCCCAATCCTGATCCCGGAGGCGGCGGGAATTCCAGGGCTCTGAGTCCCGCGGGGATGAGGGATCCGAGGGATCGGAGGGATCGGAGTCTCCAGACGAGGGAGGAAGGAGGGATTGACATTCCCAGGGCTCTGAGTCCCGCAGGGATGAGGGATCCAAGGGATCGGAGTCTCCAACCGAGGGAGGAAAGAGAGATTGACATTCCCAGGGCTCTGAGTCCCGCAGGGATCAGGGATCAGGGATCGGAGTCTCCAGCCGAGGGAGGGAAGAGGGTTTGACATTCCAAGGGCTCTGAGTCCCGCAGGAATGAGGGATCCAAGGGATCCGAGTCTCCAGCCGAGGGAGGAAGGAGGGATTGACATTCCCAGGGCTCCGTGTCCGTGTCCAGGGATTTTGCCAGAGGCTCTTCCCCATCCCAAACAGGGAAAGGTTCTTTTGGCGATGCCCAAATAGCCAAAAATTTGGGAATTTCTGGCGCGTCCCGGTCCCCCCCCCCGTGCCGAATCCCGGTGTCCCTTCCCAGTGTCCCTCGGGATTTGAGTCACTCCTATTGTTTGGCTCTTCCTTTTCCTCTTCCCCCGGTCCCTCCCGCTCCCGATCCAGCGACATTCCAGCGGGGACAGGGGGGTCGTGGGTTTTGGGGGATCCTTGGGATCTGGAGCCCCCCCCGGCACCGGGAATGTCGGCTCCTGACGGGACATCCCGGGATGGCTCCGTTCCCATCCCGGGGGATCAGGTGACAGGGCACCATCCACGGATTTTGTGGGATCACGGGGAAACTGAGGCACATTCCCGAGGTTTTCATGGAGGGAGGGGGTGTTTGGGACCCCCGTGGTGCCTCCCATCCCAAAAATCCCCCCTGGAATCCTTTGGGAGCCTCCCCTCTGCTCCTGGGGAAACCGAGGCACAGCTCCAAGGTGACTTCCAGGGGTTTTCCCAGGGTTTGGGATCCAAGTGGGGTCCTGGACCCCATTCCTGCATCCCCAGCCCAGCCTGGGAACAGGGAATGGGCCCAATCCTGTCCTGGGAATCGTGAGAGTCACTGGATGCTCAGTCCCGTCTTGGAACAGGGAATGGGGATGGATCCAATCCTACCCTGGGAATTGTGGATGTCCCTGGAAGCTGAGACCTACCTGGAAACAGGGAATGGGCCCAATCCTATCCTGGAATTGTGGGAGTCACTGGAAGCGCAGTCCCATCTGGGAACAGGGAATGGGGATCCAATCCTGCCCTGGGAATTGTGGGGATCCCTGGAGGCTGAGACCTACCTGGGAACAGGGAATGGGGATGGATCCAATCCTGTCCTGGGAATTGTGGAATTCTCTGGATGCTCAGTCCCACCTGGAAGAAGGGAATGGGCCCAATCCTGTCCTGGGAATTGTGGGAGTCACTGGAAGCTCAGTCCCGCCTGGAAGCAGGGAATGGGCCCAGTCCTGCTCCTGGGAATTGTGGGGATCCCTGGAGGCTGAGACCTACCTGGGAACAGGGAATAGGCCCAATCCTACCCTGGGAATTATGGATGTCCCTGGAAGCTCAGTCCCACCTGGGAACAGGGAATGGGGATCCAATCCTATCCTGGGAATTGTGGGAGTCCCTGGAAGCTCAGTCCCACCTGGGAACAGGGATTGGGGATGGATCCAATCCTATCCTGGGAATTGTAGATGTCCCTGGAGGCTGAGACCTACCTGGGAACAGGGAATGGATCCAATCCTGCTCCTGGGAATTGTGGGAGTCACTGGATGCTCAGTCCCATCTGGGAACAGGGAATGGGGATGGATCCAATCCTGTCCTGGGAATTGTAGATGTCCCTGGAGGCTGAGACCTACCTGGGAACAGGGAATGGGGATGGATCCAATCCTGTCCTGGGAATTGTGGGAGTCAGTGGAAGCTCAGTCCCACCTGGGAACAGGGAATGGGGATGGATCCAATCCTGTCCTGGGAATTGTGGGAATCGCTGGAAACTCAGCTCCACCTGGGAACAGGGAATGGATCCAATCCTATCCTGGGAATTGTGGATGTCCCTGGAGGTCCCGAAAGCCGGGAATTTGGGGAATTTGGGGCTCCTGCTCCCCGGGATTCTCCTCTGATCCATGTTTTTCTCCCTCCAGGTGTGAAGAAGAGGACAAAGGTCATCAAGAACAACGTCAATCCCATATGGAATGAGGTGAGAGTGTTCCCAGCCCCTGGAATTTGGTGGGAAAACCGACCCCTTCCCCCTGCCAGCCCTGGCCTGGCTTTCCAGGGGGCAAAATTAAAAAAAAGGGGATTCATTGGGGAAAAAAAGGGGAGTTTTTCCAGCACCTTTTCCCTTCCAACCCTGACTTGGGTTTCCATGGGCCAAAATTTTAAAAAAAGAGGGATTTTGTGGGAAATGAGCCCATGGAAGGGGAGTTTTTCCAGCACCTTCTTCCTTCCATCTCTGTCCTGTGTTTCCATGGGCCAAAATTTGAAAAAAAGGGGAATTTTTCCAGCACCTTCTTCCTTCCAACCCTGACTTGGATTTTCATGGGCTAAAATTTTTAAAAAAAGGGGATTTAGTGGGAAAAAGGAGAGTTTTTCCAGCACCTTTTTCCTCCCAACCCTGTGTTTTCATAGGCTAAAATTAAATAAAAAGAAAGGGGTTTTGGTGGGAAAAAAAGGGAGTTTTTCCAGCACCTTCTTCCTTCCAACCTTGATTTGGATTTTCATGGGCCAAAATTTAAAAAAAAGGGGATTTAGTGGGGAAAAGGGCAGTTTTTCCAGCAGGTTTTTCCTTCCAGCCCTGTGTTTTCATGGGCTAAAATTAAATAAAAAAAGGGGTTTTGGTGGGGAAAAAGGGAGTTTTTCCAGCACCTTTTTCCTCCCAACCCTGACTTGGATTTTCATGGAACAAAATTTTAAAAAAAGGGGATTTAGTGGAAAAAAGGGGAGTTTTTCCAGCATATTTTTCCTTCCAACTCTGTGTTTTCATGGGCTAAAATTTTTTTAAAAAGGGGTTTTGGTGGGGAAAAAAGGGGAGTTTTTCCAGCATCTTTTTCCTTCCAACCCTGACTTGGATTTTCATGCCTAAAATTTAAAAAAGGGGATTTAGTGGGCAAAAAGGGGAGTTTTCCTGCACCTTTTTCCTCCCAACCCTGTGTTTTCATGGGCTCAAATTTTTTAAAAAAAGGGGTTTTACTGGGAAAAAAAAAGCGAGTTTTTCCAGCACCTTCTTCCTTCCAACCCTGACTTGGATTTTCATGGACCACAATTAAAAAAAAAGTGGGATTTGTGGGAAAACTGCCCCGGTTGTGGTGCTGATCCCGCTCCTGGGATTGATCCTTCCCGTTAATCCAGGGCCAGGGAAAAAAGGGCAGGTTTTTCCCTGGAATCTGCCGGGAAATTTGGCTTTGGGGGCAGGTTTTTCCTGGGAAATTTGGCTTTGGGGGCAGGTTTTTCCCGGGATCTGCTGGGAAATTTGGCTTTGGGGGCAGGTTTTTCCTGGGAAATTTGGCTTTGGGGGCAGGTTTTTCCCGGGATCTGCTGGGAAATTTGGCTTTGGGGGGCTGCTGGGAGGCAAAATCCGGGTTTTTGGGTTTGGTTTTCCCAGCATCTCTCGGGCGCTGATCCCGCTGCTCTGCCTTTTCCAGGGATTCGAGTGGGATCTCAAGGGGGTTCCCCTGGACGCCGGAGCCGAGCTCACCGTGGTGGTCAAGGACCATGAGACCGTGGGCAGGAACAGGTGGGAGAAGCTTTGGGAGCTGGGAATGATCCCCCACCCTCATCCCCCAGCCCCGGGATGTGCGGGATCATCCCTCGGGATGCTCCGGCTCTTCCCGGGCTCTTCCCGGGCTCGATGTTTCCCACCCCGGGCAGTGGGAGGTTGGAGCTGCATTTCTGGGCTGCTTTTGCTCCAAATGTGGGGGGAAAACTGGCTGGGAATTCACAAGGGCTCCTTGTGCCGGGCCCTTGGCCGGGAGGTGGGAATTGGCTGCCAAGCTCCTTTCCCGAGGCGCCGGGAAGGGAAGGGGCGGAGGAGCCCTCGGAGCCGCCGCCTTCCTTCCTCCCTACGGCCCCTGTGTCCCCTCTCCGGGAATTCCCAAGGGATGGGGGGCTCCCTGGAACGGGGGGATCCCACTGTGGGACCCCCAGGCCGTGGGGAGGGAGAGCTGCTTGGAAAGGGAAAAATCCGGGAAGGGATTTATTTTTGGAGGGTCGGGAATGTGCTGCTCCTGCTCCTGCTCCTGCTCCAGCCGGGATGGGAAGCATGACCTGACCTGATCCCGTTTCCAGAGCTGGAGCCAACCTTGGATTGGCTGTTGGGCTGGAGGCCAAGGAGCTGGGATTTGGGGCTATAAATAGTGAGGGGAGGGCGGGAGGAGGGTCCTGGATCCCGGGACAGGAGATTCCGGCTCACACCTCCCCCCCCCCAACCCGGCTGCTCCGGGGCCAGCCCGGCCTTGGACACTTCCAGGGATCCAGGGCCAGCCACAGCTTCTCTGGGAAATTCATTCCAGCCTCTCACTGCCCTCATGGGGAAGGGTTTCTTCCCAATATCCCATCCAAATCTCCCCTTTTCCAGTTTGAAGCCATTCCCTGTGTCCTGTCCCTCCATCCCTTGTCCCCAGTCCCTCTCCAGCTCTCCTGGAGCCCCTTCAGGCCCTGCAAGGGGCTCTCAGCTCTCCCTGGAGCCTTCTCTTCTCCAGGGGAACCCCCCCAGCTCTCCCAGCCTGGCTCCAGAGCAGAGGGGCTCCAGAATCCTGGAATGTCTTCAGTTGGAAGGGATCTTAAATCCCATTGTTTCCCCCCCTGCCCTGGGCAGGGACACCTTCCCCTAGCCCAGGTTGCTCCAAGCCCTATCCAACCTGGCCTTGGACACTTCCAGGGATCCAGGGGCAGCCACAGCTTCTCTGGGCAACCTGTGCCAGCCTCTCCCCACCCTCACAGCCAGGAATTCCTTCCCAATATCCCATCCATCCCTGCCCTCTGGCACTGGGAAGCCATTCCCTGTGTCCTGTCCCTCCCTGCCTTGTCCCCAGTCCCTCTCCAGCTCTCCTGGAGCCCCTTCAGGCCCTGCCAGGGGCTCTCAGCTCTCCCTGGAGCCTTCTCTTCTCCAGGGGAACCCCCCCAGCTCTCCCAGCCTGGCTCCAGAGGGGATCAGGGATCATTCCCACATCCCCCTCTGGATCAGCTCCAGCAGCTCCCCGGCTCCGGAGGGGTTTGGGTATCCCTGGAGCTGCCCCTTCCCCCCTCTGAGCTGTGCCCTTTGCCAGGTTCCTGGGGGAGTGCCGGGTGCCCCTCCGGGATGTGCTGGGCACCCCCAGCCTGGCGGCCTCATTCAACCTCCCGCTGCTGGACACGCGCAGGGAGGGCACCGGGGTGAGTGTGGGGCTGGGCATGGGATGGGGGCATCCCAGGGGGCACCAGGATGGGCAGGGGGATCCCAGGGAGGGCACCGGGGTG